TTTATTCATTGTGTTGTAGCCAAAAATCGGCGTGTATTCGTCGTTAAACTTACGGCTGATTACAGTTCTACCTCAGTTATATCCCGGCTTTGATGCTAGACGGATTTCCCTCAGTTATATCCCACTCAGACATATTAATATCCCTATCCCAATTTTTCCCAATACCAATTTCTCAATCCTATAGTAATCCATTAGAACGCCTCGTTTATATCCCCTTAATTATATTAAGCAACTTTACTACCCACAAATTCAACAAATCAAGTCACTAATTCAACGTCGAGACATAAATCAGGCCGTACACCATTACTTATCGAAGAAATTCTTCTGACTGAAGGTGTCTTACAACAGACACAAACAAGAAGCAAGTATATCCATAAAGGTAGGAAAAGAGAAGCACTTGCGACGGCCAAGAAATTTTTAGAACAAAGAGAATTTGCAACAGAAAATGATATTGGATACGCGCTTAGATGAATCAGAAACGTCGCTGATAGAATTTATTAATCAATGATATTATTTATTGAAACGCTATACTTTAGTTATATCCCACCTCTGATATATCCCCCAACATGGGAGGTAAAACTGTATATTGTTGGCCGAGCGATCCGGTCAGATGATTTGCATCCCGTACCGTTATTATTATCATGATCCGCGCGTGTGACCGGTTTGGCGGCATTGCCCCCGTGAACGGGATAGTATAAGCAATGAAGGTGGAGTTTTGCGTTTCTTTATTAGTTGCACCTACGATTGAACACTAAAGGTGCTCTTGCACTACAAAGGCGCTTAAGCATATACATAATGATAATAATAAATAATTAAATAAATCTATATAGTAAAATTACATATTCTATTTTACAAAGCTTAACTAATATATTTTACATACTTAGCTAGCTGTACAGTCTAGCCGGGGAGAAGTGGTTCTGGATTTATAGTACTTTAGGAGGCCTATATAGTACATATATGTCTCCTTCAGAGATGGTCTTATCAGCTATTCTAGCATTCATATGGGCAAACCAGATTGCCTGATAAGCTATATCCATTAGATATCTCTTCTGCCTGTCTTTGTTAAAGAGGCCTTCGTTTTAATCCTTACACATTTGGAGAACATGTGTTCCGATGTTTCCTTGTATCCGATACACAGGTCGCAAAGGTTGGTATACTTGGCAGGGTTGATATGCGACAGCCGGCTTTGTTCGGCTGTGCGCTGCCCTCCACAGTATTTCCTGTATTTTGGGGGTTGAACACTTGGAACCAGGTGATGGTGTGTGTGGTAGCGGTTTGGTCAGCTGCCTCAGTTCTTTGAAAGAGAGGCATGAGGTATGGTGGTGGGCGAGTTTCGGTTTATCTCCTTCCATGAGCAATGAGACGTCTTCTGGGCCTATGTGGCTTCTTCGAACTCGTGACGTCTCATTTCTTAAACCAGGCGTGCCGTTTGTAGTGATAATAGTTGGACAAAGTTTGTATGAATTTGTTTAAAGTCTGCCGGTGAATAAAAGAATTTTTTGGATTGAATGTACTTTGTATTAAAGAACGAGTATTTTAGTTTCCTTTGTGATATTTGTCGTGCACTCCACCAGGTAGTTCTAGCAGCAACCAAACTAGTCTGGGATAAATACAGAGTGAATCTCCATGAAGTAATGACGGCCCCAGGTTTAGCAGTTGGCACCTTTAGCGTTCAATCGTAATAAAGGAACGCAAAACTCCAGGTTTAGCGTTTATTTTATGCATTCTGTGATGGGTGATACAATTATCGAAATATGTAACTACAGTATAGCGTACAAATTAGTCATGCATAACAAAAATATACACCTTAACAACAGAAAATGTTAATGAAGAATGCAATGCAAGTGGCATAGAAAAAACCCGTCATAAGAAATAATTATAACGCAGTGTGACGACTATACATTTACGCGATTACTATCGTCCGATTGGTTTTCACCCGTCAATAAAAGTTTTCAATAGACATGGTTAAACATATATAGGCAATTGTTAAAATAGCATACCGTATTGTTCGTCGACCAAAAAATTTTTATTAATAGGTTCACTCTAAGAGAGCCAATCATTGTCAAGCATGTAAGTTATATTTTCCATATTTATGGTAAAATGGCGTACTTTTCTTTGGTTGTTAGACTATGCCAATAAGTTTTTGGGGAGGGAGGAGATAATCGTTAAACAAATCATCTTACAGTGATACATTTTATACAACCATTATTCAAATAGATAAAATATCAATAGTCTTTGCCGACCAAATCCGAAACATCGCATACACATCTCCGTGCGAAGACTGATTAGTGAAACAACTGCCGAATTATTGCCTGAGGGTTGGCTTGATTATTGCATCCTAATACCAGGGTCTAGAATCTAGCATAGTTCCAATCAGCTAATGTAAATTTTTATCTGATGACAGAGGTTTTGCAACAAATTTGTTTCTTTTTTATGTTTCCGACTTAGGAGTTTTTCTCACTAGACCCGCACTTTTGAGTACGATAGTTGAATACATGACATGTATAAAATTTACTGGCTACTTTTAACGTTTATGGGGACATTATAGGTGTAACAAATAAAGGATGTCAGCTGATGCACGATCGACAGTTCAGGGGACGTGTTAACCGTACAATGGACGGATCCATTCCTCAATGAAACAATTCGCACTTATCTACAAATACTTTAACAACTGCCAATAGCTAGTCCAAAAGGTCAGAAGGCGTCTACGAAAAGCCTTACTTTCAACTTGTAACTAAGTATACATATTTAACAGTGTGAATTTCGGAAGTAAAACTTTAAATTGCTAGTAACAACCTATTACTATTATTAAAGGGGCAATTATTACAGATTTACATAATTAACACGCCCTATAATAAAATTACCATTGTTTGATAAACGGTATTCAACATTAATATGCATGTTAAACAATAGCTTCTCCTTGACATTATTATTGTGTGAATTAATATCAAGTACATATGCGACATAAGTCAATCAATTATAAAATTAATTAATTTTTATAGTGCTAATTTTTTTATATTTTCTGGATTATGTGAATTATCCAAACCTTAATCCAAACAAAAGATAAACAAAAATAGTGTGAACTAAAATAGTCTTACACACACGATTATTTTAACTAATCATGCAACAACTACGCTGCATAAATACCTTTCAATAAAGGCGCTAGACGAAAAATTTACGAAATAGTTATCACAAATATAACTACAAGCATATAAATAAAATAACAGCTCACAAAGTCGTTCTATTGCGCTTCCGCCACCCAAATATAAATATTGTTATTTGATTGGCTGACCAAACAATAAAGTAACACATATTATCTGCTGATGTCCATTTACTACCTAGATTGGAACACCGTCCTACCTCCAACTCTGTGCATGCAAAATATAGATCATGTACGGAATAACCTAAATTGTGTTATTCCGGGATTTATAGTCCAGAAGTCAAAGAGCAATTGTCTTGAAACGTCCAACTGTAAAATTGTAATAATTGATAACTCATATATTAATGATAATACTTTGGCTTTGCCGGCTAATCCGTGACCGTAAACCACATAACCATGATGCAATCAAAGTATGTAATGATAGTAATACGCTGTATTCATATAAGCAAGCTCAATCTCATGATTTAAATGCATTTGTATAAAAAATGAAGTATTAAAATTTTTTGATCCGTTTTGCATCTTCTTCAATCGAAACTAGTAAAGCGTTGCATCTAATTATAATAATCTACGCATATTTGGACCGCTGTCACGGGTCTGCTAAGTTATTAGTGACCGAGTTATTAAGCCACGATAACGATATTTGTATACAGTTTCTTAAGTCCTCTCGTATAAGACATAAATTAATTATACTTTTGCACGCATCAATTGACAACATAGTCATAGTGATGATGGTCGTGTCTGCTGTTTATTTACTCTCTTACTTTCTGATAATCAACTGGACAATGTTGGTTAACTCAATGAACGAACGAATAAATGAAAACTAATGAAGATAAAAATTAAAATAAAAATTTTCTCAGAAAAAATAAACGAATAATGGCGGCTGTCCGTTCGGAAGATTTCACGGTGCGCGTCTTATGATATCACAGATAGGGAGCCTGCGAGAAAGCTATGTATGCGTAGAAAGACAAGTGGTAAGCATACAGAAAACATATATAATTTATTTACACTGGTTTATAACATACCGATATAACGTGGTTGGTAGGAAGAGTTAAGATTTACGAATTTATGTGGAGACGAAGAGTAGAAAAAAAACTTATTCTATTTATATACAGGGAGAATTACCATCTAATTATTGTTCGGCTAGACAATCGTATCACTGATGCTTCTTGACTACATAGATCACGCTGATATCGTATTACTTGCGTGCGTGGCTTATTGGACTTATTAACCAGTGAAAAATATTTTATATACCGATGATCCAAAAAAAGCGTCTGAGATTATTGATAAGCATTTGCGGGATCGGGATTATTTCACTAAAGCAGTGGATGATGCTTCTAAGTGTACGTCTTGGTTGAGCAACCACTTGATCTTTCCACATAGGACATGATTTCAGAGATACAAGGCATTTTTTTATGCGGAATATTAAAGGCTTTCTGCGAAGCAGGCCACTTCATGGCACACGATAATATAAGATTTATTATTATCTACCATATACTTTATGAATATACAATTTGCGAAGCAAAGGCGCTTCCGCGCCCTCAATTTAGTTTATCCGTATGAGTAGAAAGTCACATGATACGAAAGGCTATCTATTTCGGTTTCACGACTTTACACTAGATCAGACGATTAAATCACAAAAAATTACGTATGCATGAAGGGTGTCAGGTATATAAAATCTATTTCGGGTATGTGGGTCTAGTATATATCGATATCGGGTATGTAAAATCTATTTCGGAGTGTACTACAAACATCATGCAAAAGAAGTATCATATGATTTGCCCAACTGCGGATAGAATGAAATAGCTGTGCTCTGTACCATACTAGTACTACTTCCTAAACAATGTCAAAAAAATCTACACCATACCCAACCACAAGAGGTGCAAGAACGAGAAGTGTTATTACAGCTGGTTCATCCACAAGAGGTGCTAGGGGTGCTACACCTGCAGGATTAACTGGCAGTAAGTTGACTTATTAATAATATTTTTCTATTGAAGCTCCCTCAATGTTATCTGCAAAAAAAAAAAAATAGATCTCAATGAGCTTGATGTAAGCACCTCGTCACTCCCTTTCAAAATCTGGGTGAAATATGGCAATGCACAACCATCCAGGGTTGTATTTGATGGAGGAGATGTGGATGATTTGAAGGAGGCAGTCAAGAAGAGACTATCACCCAGGTTAAATGAAACTGCCCTCCACTGGATTATCCTCCACAAACATGGTGATGAGACTGATCTAGAACCAGGTGCTAAAGTGGATTCAAGTTTCCAAAATACTGCCAAAAACCCACTTCAAGTTATAGTTATAGTGCCAGAAGAGGAACACAAAAAGCAAGGTAACTTAGTGAGTGAATAATGCATTTAACTGTCAAAAATTGGTAAAAAGAGATGGTTGACAGTTCAAAATGGTTATCACAGCAGGATACTTGTTTAAGGGACATTTAGAATGAATACTGATGTACTTAGTACTGTGATTTTTTTCTCCCTATTCCATTTTGCCAATCACATCTTGTTGTTTTGAAAAAAAAAAATTCTTCTGCTTCATTTACTAGGCAAAAGAAAAGCATCAGAAGAGGAAACCATCCCCTCCAAACATATGCACATAGGAGCAGATAATGTAACTCATACAGGCATAGGAAGATTTTGGAAGGCACTGCAGTTAATGGAGATTGATGATAAGGATATGTTCCTTTCTCTACCCACAGGCATCTTTTTTTGTGGTGAAAATGATCAAGGATCCTCTCTACTTATTCGCAGATGCTACTGCCATCTCGCACATATTATATTTACTGACAATGTGAATCACAGATGGCGCATCACAGGTAACCCTGGAATTGGCAAAACATTCTTTGGATATTACCTGATTTTCCTGCTTGTACATAGAGGGAAAACAGTCATATATCATTATTCTTGCAGACCTCCTCTGTGCTTCAGTAACAATGGTGTATTCCAAGCCATTAGTGATAACATCCACCAGTTCTACAAGGAACTAAGAAATCCTGATGCTTGGTACATTGTGGATGGTATCCCTCCATCCAAATATCCTGCAAGGACAGTTCTTGTATGCTCACCCAAGAAGTCAATTCATTATGAGTTTGACAACTTTCCTGTAACAACAATCTGTTACATGCCAGTGTGGAATGATGATGAGGTCAGTTCATGTAGGGCAAAGATTTTTCCTTATCATGACCCAACACTGGTTGAGGAATTGTTCAGAAAGTGGGGTGGAATCCCCCGATTTGTTCTTGAAAAAGCCAATAACTACTCTCAGCAAAAAAGCCTTGATGATGAAATTAGTAAATGTGATACAAGTTTGTCTAACTATATTGGTGACACTAATAATTATGATGGGGTAGTCCACATCCATACAAACTCTCCAGATGAGGAAAACCTTGATGTTTCAAAACACTACCAGAAAAAAGTCCTACAGTTTGCATCTCAATATGTGGCTGAAAAGGTGATGGCCAAAATTGAAAGCCAGTTCAAGGAAGATTTATGCAAATTGCTGATGGCTGGCATGCCACGACTTGGTACAATTCATGGTGCCCTATTTGAGGAAGTTGCACATCAGATTCTGATACGTGGAGGAAGGTTCAAGTATCGCCATTAAAAGACGATCTTGTTCCCTTTCTCTGCTGCCCAAATTTTACTGCGCCCCAAATCCTGTTTATTTCGCTTTATATCGTCTTATACAGCTGAGTTTTGAGGGAAACAAGGACAGAAATGGCCTCTACGGCCAAAAAACCACCTAAAAAAGTGCTTTCCTATGCAGAAATCACTAAAAAAACAGTGGAGAAGAAGAGTTTCTTTGAATCTGCTGTTTGCAATATTGCCCTTCCAGCAAATGCGCCTCACAAGCGCATTCCTAATACTAATGAGAAGTTCTCCTTTTTTGTAGACCTCTCATCAACCAATGCTACTGAAGAAGAGGTAGCAAATGCCCTACCTACAAAGGACATAATCGGAGTAAATGTCAGAAGTGACCTTAGGGTTGTGGAATGCATTTGCAAAGATGAGGAAGCCTTTGAAGAGGCCATTGCACGCACCTATGATGTCAAGGGAAAGAAGTCCTTTGTGGCAATCATCCCAAGACACAAAGTGAACCGATATGTCCTCATAAAACTGTCAAATGTCCCTATAGCGGAAGAGGAAAAGCTTAGGGAGCAGCTCAGTGAATACTGGACTCAGTTTGGCAGAATAGCTGACATTGCACCTTATAAGTTCCCTGGGAAACCTTGGTTGACTAAACGTTGGGACCTTATAATTCAACTCAAAGGTGAAGAAAAAAAGCTCAGGGCTGAAACAATCTTCTCTCTGGAGGGATATGAGCAGAAAATTGTTGCCTCCTGGCCTGGCTCAGCAAAAACTTGCCTTTTCTGCAAGTCTACTGGGCATTCCACCTCTCTCTGCCCTAGGAAAAATCCTAAAATGAAAAAAGTTGGGGCATTGGCAACCCCCCAACAAAAGATCAGCAGGGAGAATGAAAACCAAAAAAGGAAAGGAAAGTCCCTCGAAGATCCTTTCTCCAAAAGTACCCATGCCACATCAGCCACCCTAGCCACCCATCAAGCCACAATAGCCAGTGGTTTAACCTCACCAGCCAGTGGCTCAGTCATTCACGCCACACCAGCCATGGTGGCTAGTGCCAGCCAAGCCACATTTACAGCTCTGACCCAGGCAATGGCTATTGATAAGCCAGAGCTGCAACAAATACGCCGGAGCATGGTGAATCCAGAACGGAGGTTGTTCACCCCTCCACCCATTGAGGTTAGGGAAAAGGAAACACCAACAAAGGGGAGAAAGCGGATGGCTAAGGACGATGATGCTTGGACCCCTACTGACGGAGAAATTTTATCCTTTGTCATAGACAATAGAATTTGCACATCGTGCTGGTGTACTGGGCATGCCTTTACTTCGTGCAAAAGAGTCCCTGGCAAACGATGTCCTAGCAACAAAGAAGTCTTTGAGTCTGAAGGATTTAGACCTTTCCTTGCTGCTTGGAAAGAAGAAAGAAGGAAGCGAATATCAGCTAGACCAGATGCAGAACTGGGAACAATCGTCCTTCCCCAGTACTGCAACCTCTGTTTCAGCACAGAACATGATGAGGACAGCTGTGATGAACTGTCCCATTAAGCTCCTGCCCTTGCAGTACAAGTGCAGCTATGGGTCAGTGATGATGGTAGCTTGCAATGCATATCCTACACCCCACTACCTTAGATGAATATAAAGAACAGCATAGGTTTTAACTAGTGGCTAGTTTCCTTTGCTGGTGCTCTGGTTTATAGGAGTCAATTATTGATAGATTAATATAGTAGGATATCATAGATATGATATATAGAGTTATATAAGCCAATATGTATTATATAATTTATTTATGTATTTATGTAATATTAGTGTTTGACACTATGTCAGCACACCTTTGTTGGTTAGTAACAACACAGAAAATCAGGGTCCAACCCATGTGTGACCAATAAAGGACTCGAAAACTCACCTGGCTATCTGTGGAATACATCTGCTCGAGCATGAAACAGCGACAATATAGATACTTTAAGGCAATTGCATACCAGGCTATATGGTTTGCACATATTGCCGCTAGGGAATCCCAAACTCCAATAACAGTGCAAAGGATAGAACAAAAGTACTTTGGCCTACTAGAGCACTATCGTAGAAGGACCACCAACCCAACACTCCGTAATAGTTGGCCATCGAAGACATCGCTGGCTGTCTATTTCACTCCGTCCTTCTAAGATATATAGAAGATGACAATCCGTCTTGTAAATACTTAAAATAGAATGTAATATAGATAGACTTATGCCTTAAAATATGTACTTTTATTTTTTATTTTTATTTATATGTTATGCTTTCCATGTAATATGTACTGACACCATATGGTGCCAGCTAGTCTTTTTAGGTAGTAGAAGCACAGAAAATTAGGGGTCACCCCATGTGTGCCTAAATAAAGACCCTCAAAACCTCACCTGGCTATCTTTCCCACTAATGCCAGAAAAACAACTTAGGGAAACGATCAAAGACTATTGGAGTCATTTTGGAAAAGTTGGTAGAATAGAACCACATTACTACCGGGACTCCAAAATCCTATCACGAAGATGGGACCTCGTACTAACTATCCCTGGTGGTAAATCGCTTGGAGCACCAGTCATATTCGAAATGCATGCCGTGCGGGTTATATGCATGTGGGAAGGGTCCAAAGCAGCCTGCACCAACTGCAAAAGTGAAGGGCACTGGTCTCAGAATTGCACCCCAAGGGACCGAAAAGCTGCTGAAAAAAGAGATAAACTCGACCCTGCCCCCCCAGTAGAAAAACCAAAGCCCCCACAGAAGCAAAAAGGAAAACAAAAGGAGGTGGAGCAGCAAGAAACCATAGAGCCTTCATCTGAAAACCAGGATGACATAGGCATCATTATCGATACCTACATCGAGGAACTCTCCTCCCTCCCCCCTGCAGAAATCCCCCCAGCGAAAAAACCAACCAAGGATACAACCAAAAAGGTGGCAGAAAAACTGTCTAAGACATATGCCCAGTCTGGATATGCTGCCAAAGACGTAAAACCTATTGCAGTGATATCCTCCGATGATGACTTTGAAATAGTCAAATCGAAAAAACAGATAAAAAGAGAGAAACAGCAACAGGTAAAACCTCCTGCCAGACCAAAAACTCCCCCATCCCCCCAGAGAAGTACCACTCCTCCCCCCTCTAACAAACGAACAGCAGCACAAGCCACTACCCCTAAAAGGAGGCAAGTAGCCAGTAAAATACCCAAGGTTATAGACATGAAATACCTGCAAAGCTACAAGCCAACAAGCATGCGGAAAGCTTGGGATCCATGGCAAATAGCTAGTAGGCTTGCAAAACTTAAGGGATGGTTAACACAGGAAAACCTGAACTACTTCGCAGCATACCCACACGTAGCTCAACACTGGATGGATAGACTCCCAAAGGAGCTCTATGACTATGTTAGCAACAGTCTTCGCATGGACAAAAACAGAGGTGCTCATGTTCCAGTGACTCCAGACTGCAACACTGTCCTTGAAAACCACCATCTTACCGCTACCCCTCATGCATCAATCACCATGGAAAATCTCCCCCCATCGCTCCCCCGAGTAATTCAAGTGGAGTACAACACTCCCATGGCTCCACCTTACATCCCATCCATCATGAAAGAATCCCCTGTTTCTAATGAATCTTGGGAAAGATTTATTAATTACAAATGTGATACCACCCTCCATCCTATGAAAATAAAGGTCAAAGCCAATAGCACAAATGGCGAAAAGGTAGGTGACTTCTATGTAAGTAAAGATGAACTAACCACAGATCTGAGAGATAGGTTAAGCATAGCTTTCGGAATAGATGTTATACCACATAAAGGAGGGGAACCCCTTCCATACGCAACCTTATCCGGAGCATATAATAAGATTGGGGAAGAAGATGAGATCTCTGTCAAGGCATATGAAAAGATCTTCCCCCCTAAAGAGGACAATGCCCTAGGGCCCAAGTACTCAATTATGGTCCTCCAGGAGGACAGCTTTGGCACTAACACCTTCTCTGAGTATATGCACTATAATGAAAATATAGGTAAACTTAAGGAAAGAATCGCCACCCGCATCGAAATACCACCATCAGAATTCACTTTATGGAGGAGGGAGGTCCTCCTGGATGAAAATAAGACCCCAAGGGATTATGAAATGGGTACTGCTACCCGCATCCATGCTAGAATCACAAACCCCCAAGCCTCTGGATCTACTCAGGATGAGGAAATGGAACAGACAGATAATGAAAATTCCATCGAACTCATCCTAAAGGAAGGAGAAATGGGACTGCCATATGAGATACCCCTTACTGCTACACCAAGGGACATCTTAAGCAATTATGCCGAATACAAAAATAACAGCATGTATAATATGACATATGCACTATATAATGGCACCTTTATGCTACCCATGGATAAACAGGTTGAAGAGTTAATCCAAAACCAATATGTAAAAAAAGGGGATATCCTTGAAATAGGCCCCAGCCAACCCATCACCTTATGAAGATTATAACATGGAATGTTGGTGGAATTGTCTCTGATCAAAGAGACAAAATTAAGCGAGTCCTGAGGAAACTAAGAGAAGAGAAACCAGATCTGGTCATCCTCCAGGAAATAATACGAACCAATGATCCTGACATGGACCCCAACATCAACCAAAAAATCGAAAAACTTAAGGACTATATGGAGATGGTGTGGCTCGGTGGAGACATCATTGTGCTGCCACACATTGCCGTGCTGTCACCATATAAGCACTCACTTAAGCTGGTAAGCGCACATCTCAAGTCACGTGTTGTGGACTTTACGTTTTCACATGTGGCAAGAGGTGATCGCAAAATCCAAATTCCCTA